TGGTTTGTTTCCGTGCATGGGCACAGGCCAACTCCCCCCGATGCTCCTGTGGCCCCTGGGAGTCCCTCAGAGTGTGTGGGCTGTGCCCCAGACTCCGGTGCAGGGACCGAGGGTGCTGGTGCCTTAGGCCTTGGGGTGCCCGGTGCTGTGAAGGGGGCAGAGCGGGGTGGCTGTAAGACAGGGGTACATGGGGTGCTGGTGCCCGGCTGAGGCAGGCGGGTCGGAGCCCACCTGTGCACGGGGAGGGCTCAGCATTGAATGCAGCCCCCCCAGCCACTGGCGCTGCCGCCACGCTCGCCTCTTCAAGGCAGCTTTTATCTGGCTGACTTTGTGTTCCAAGCGGTGAGAGCTGGAGCGGGCTCTCAAGAGCCCTTGTGCGGAGCAGCCTCTCCCGGGGGAGCGTCTCGTGTGGGAAAGGAGCCATGTTGCTGCTCTGCACCCACCACAGGGGCCTGGGGGTACCCGGACTCCTGGGTCCTCTGCAGCTGCTGGACCCTGACGTCGGGGCTGTGCCCTGCCAGATCCCTCCATTGCATCCACTGGCACTAGCGGGGCTGGGGATGTTGTAGCCTGCAGCAGGAGGGACCCCCTCGCCCTGGCAGATCCCGGGGGCATTGGGCAGGAGGTGCTGCAGCGCGCAGGGCAGTTATGCCCGGGGGGGACAGTTCCCCGTCCTGCCGTGGTGTTGTGTCCAGCTGCAGGGCTGGAGGTGGGGAAGGTGGTGATGGCACCTCTCAGCAGCTAATTACCCAGCCTCACCAGCTGCAGCGTCCCTGGGTGGGCTGGGGGGCTCCACCACCCCTGACCCCACAGCTGTGCCCCCCAGGCTGGTCCCTGTGGGGCACAGAGCCACTGGCCACCCGTGGGTGCTGGCTGTGGCACTGGCAGGAGCTGCTGCCCGGGGACAGAGGATGCCATGCCCCATGAGTCGCCACGCTGGGCAGCACCGAGCCCCAGCAGCATGGCTGGGGCCCGTGGGGTTCCTGTGGGAGAAGGGGACGCAGCATCGGGGTGTGGGGGCTGTCCCAGGGTTCAGCAGGGCCAGGGCCACCCGCTCCTGCCCAGGCTGGTAATTGAGTCACTGGTTGCAGATTGATGGTTTAATTAAAACCCAATTAGAAACCTCATTGATCTTGTTAGCAAAGTGGGAAGGTACAGGCTTTAGTGGGGATTAAAGGGATTGCATGGCCATTGATAGGGATGGGGGGCACGGGGGCACCTGTAGGGCGGTGCTGGGGGTCCTGGGGTGCTCGGAGAGGGCTGTGCCCATCACCCTGGGGTGGGTGCTGTCCCATGGCACCCACGGTCCCTTCGCCCACTGCCATGTCGCCAGGCAGCAGCTCCCGTCTCCCCAGGAGCCCCGATTCCCTGAGTGGGGAGGTGGCCCCAGGGACGCTGTGTGCCGGCAATGCCTTTTGCACCCGCACCTTGCAGCTGCGCCAGGCGAGTTGGGGGGAGGATGGGGGGGGGGTCGTGCCGTGGCGCCGTGCCACCCGTGCGCGTGGGCTGCGTTGCAGGCGCTGTCTGCTGAGCCAGCGCGCGTGTGCGCGGCCGTCTGGGCGCCGTGACTGTGCAGTGCTGTCTGCGTGGGGAGGGCTGGCACGGAGGGGGGGCCCAGGCTGAGCTGCCTGTCTCCCCGGCAGCTGAGCGATGGGCACAGACAGTCTGTCTGTCTGTCTCTCCATCCATCAGGGTGGACTGACCGCGGCAATCGATGTGCCTTCACCTCTCGCTGTTGCGTGGGGTGACTGGAAGGGGACCACGTAAATCAATGGCACTTTTTTGTTCACCAGCTGATCGATGGGCCCCGGACGTGCCGAAAGGGCGAAGGTGCCGGAGCCAAATAAAGGGCCCAGCTGGGCTGGGGTGGGGGGTGGAGTCCGCCCCAGCACCCAGTGCAGGGGAGCACCATGATGTCACCCGCATGGGGGGACACTCCACATTGCCCCTGTCCTCACCACTGGCACCACCAATGTGGGATGCTGAGCCCAGCTCCAGCCCTGCCGCCCTCCAGGCCTTTCCCGCACTGTGGGGATGAGCCTCTGCAGCACAGGGGTCCAGGCAGGGGTCTGGTCCCCCATCCCGTGCTGCTGCCGCCGTGCCCGGGTTGTGCTGCAGTGCACCAGGCGCTCCTTAGCAGTGCATCAGCGAGCGTGCAGCACTCAGCCCAGATTTATCACAGCAGATGGGAGCGGAGCAGCTGCCCAGCTCACCAGTGGCTGTGGCTTGCCAGGTAGCCAGGGTCCCACCGGTGCGGGGCTGGTGGGTGCCAAGCGCAGCCTGCGCTTGGGACGGTTCTGCCAGGGGACATCCATCTGCCCACTACCGACAGGCTGCTGGAAGGTACCACTGCCTTGCAAAGCCCTGCTCTAAAAATGCAGTCGTGCAGAAGTGATGCTGCCTGTTCTACTCCCGTGCTTAACCCTTTGGGCACTGCCGGAGCCCGCTGTGCCCCGCTGGCCTCTGTGGTGTGGCTGGAGCCTGGGAGGCCGGGGGGACCATCCCAACCCAGGTTGCCTGTTGCTGGGCCTTCCCAACAGTTGCAGGGACCGGGCAGCCCATGCCCGCACTGCGGTGGGTGTCGGTGAGAAAGGAGGCTGATACCCTCGCTCTGGGTGTCTGTTCCCATCCTTCTGCCTGAAAACAGGGCCCATGGGCTCCCTGCCTGCTGCTGGGGCTGGGCCAGGCACACACTTCTGCCTACCCTGCACTCCCGAATGGTGCTGCAGGCAGAGCTTGGGGTGTTCCGGTGATGGCATTGGGGCTGCTGGGATTTGGGGGCATCCAGCTGTGTGGGGTGCTGGTCTGCACCGGCGGGACCGGTGATCACAGCGCAGGAGCCGAGCATGGCAGGAACACAGTGTTGTGGCCGAAGCTGCTGCTGGAGTCCCCCTGGATGTGCCCCGGGCCATGGTGGCCCCATGGCTCTACCTGTTTGGGGCTGTTCTCCAGCCCCTCCCAGCTTGTAGCGATGCTCTGATGCCTGCAAGCTCTCAGCATGCAGCAGCGGCTGGCGATGTCCGTGGGGTTTACCACCATGGGGAACAGGGCTGCCAGCCTCCACCACACCATCTGGGGTCCCCTGTACCCCTCCATTGCCATGCTGGTGTGCCCCAGCCCAGGGGGAGACCTTGGTGCCGCATGGGGCCATGCTCATTAGCGAGGCTGTTTATCAGGAGCCACGCTTCTTAATAAGCCCCAGCGTGGGGTCCCAGGGGGGTGTGTGTGCCTCAGTGCTGGGTGCTGCAGGGGAAGGGGGGGGGTACAGCTCCCCAGCACCCCAGGACAGGGTTTCCCCTGGCACGGCAGGAGATGGAGCCAGGTGTCACTCCTGTGGGTGCAGACACCCAGGGCCAATCCTGGGGAATGTGCTTCCTCCGGTCCCTCGCTCCCCTGGCACAGCCACACCGGCTGCCGGTGCCCAACCCGGTGTGGGACAGCTGGCTCGGGGCACGCTGGCGTCCCAGCCCTGCGTCCTGCACGGAGTTAATTGCAATTTTCTCCTCGGGGCCATTTCTTTAATAACAAGCCTTTTTCTCTCCCCCCCCCATTCTCACCACATCAAAGGGGGAAGATGAAAGGTCCCGGCGCCCCGCGGAGCAAGGGTGGCTGCCTCAGCACCTTGCTGGCGGAGGAGTTGCCCAGTGGCCGGCGGGGGCCGGGCTGGGCGGGGAAAAGCGGCGGGGG